AGAAAATAGTTTTAGCTAACAAAAGAAGAAATTTCAGAGTGAAGGAAGTTTAAAAATCTGGCTGATGGAATATCATTCTGGTTGTCATCTTTTTCTATGGAACTCCTCGCATTTCTTCCTAAGTAATTACTTCAAAAAATTAAATTCAACTTCTTAAAAAGGAAGCACAAGACAGACCTTGAAAATATTTCCTGTATATAATCTCTTTGCCCTCTATCTTGAGTAATTAATGGACATCGTCTTGTCAAGGTTGCATGAAGCCTTTTTTTTTAAGCCTTTTTAAATAAATGGGTCAAAGCACTTGTAGTTTCCAGCCTAGGCTTTGTGTGAATTATAGGCTATTTGAAATGTTTATTTCTGATTATGTCAAATACACCTTCCATTTTGTCATTTTTGTTTAAACTGATTAATTACAAGTCAACATTGAGTTTTATACTTGTGTTTTGGTGAATAGCTAACTGAAATATAGGACATTTCAGACCTACATCATATAAGAGTTCTGTGAGAAACAGGAGAGGAAGCCACATACAGAGTTACATTGTCATTGACCTCTAGGAATTAGGGAACAACAGCTAGATGCAAGCCATCCCAAAATTCTAGTTAGACCAAAAGCTTATGAAAAATACAAAGTGTCTGAAAGATGGGTAGTCACAATTAGGAGTCAGAACTCTCCCTGAGCCCAAATAGGGAAACATTTAATATTACATTAAATAACCAACCTACCTATAATTCAACACATATGTCTCCTATCAAAATGGGCTCTGTATTACATAGGCTAGGCATGGTGGCTCATGCCAGTAATCCCAGCACTTTGGGAGGCTAAGGCAGGTGGATCACCTGAGGTCAGGAGTTCAAGACCAGCCTGGCCAACATGGTGAAACCCCATCGCTACTAAAAATAAAAAAATTAGCTGGGCATGGTGGCTCACACCTGTAATCCCAGCTACTCAGGGGCTTGAGACAGGGAGATTGAGACTTGGTAGGGGATAAGGTGTGAGGAGAATCACTTGAACCCAGGAGGCGGGGGTCCCAGTGAGCTGAGATTACATCACTGCACTCCAGCCTAGGCAACAGAGTAAGACTCCATCTAAAAAAAAAAAAAAAAATAGTATTACATAGTTCCAAGGTAGTATCATTGAGCCATGATGTGTGTACCTAAAATTAGTATTTATTGATTTACCTCTGCTGAATATAAACTTTTTTTTTTTTT